ATGATGTCTTTCATATTTTGTATTTCCTGACTCCATTATATTTAAGATTCTAAAAGGAATATGTAACTTAAAATTGCAAGTTCCTTTTAACAAAAGCTATAGTATGTATAGCAAAAAAGCAAAAAGAATATAAAAATATTAAAAATATTTTTTGGAAATTATAAGATTTGTGTATTAGGCGAGGAATTTTATTCCGCAACAAAAGAAATAAAATATATACAAACAATATTAATGGATGGTAAAAATCTTACCTTTCTCTGTAGTATAAAAAAATAGCTTCCTTAGGTCTAAGATATCACCACATTATAATTATAATCGGATCTATGATACATATTTTAGATATAAAAATTTATTTAAAAAGTTTTGCACCTCTTGCATGTGCACATGGACGCGCCATAATGCTAGTTAATGTAAAAAACCATGTTTCTTTAGACGAAAGACCAAATATCCCTATTAAGCTGACACAAAGACCTGATTATTGTGAACTTAACGCCATTGAGGACGTGATCAAGATCTCATTTGTTCGATTGCCTCAAAATAAATTTAAGGTAAACTAGTATAGTGCACGTGCGTTGCACGTAGACATACTTAGTTACTGCTGGATAGAAAAATTAAAAAATGTAATATGTTTGTTATAGCTCGTATCTTCTTGTCGCCGTGTGATTAATTGCAACAATATGGCCAGCACGTATGCCATTGTAAGACCACCTTTGTTGAACTTACTATGCACCAATATAATGAAGAATAGATAGCTATTTTAGAACTGTAGTTGGAGAGTTATGGTGATGAACATGATTTCATTTAAAAGAACTACATGGAGAACAAGAAGAGAGGAAATGAAAGGTTAATCAAATTAAAGTGATTAAGTGAGTGAAACAATATGGTACATAAATGCATTTAAAAAAGGGTATATAAGTGCAAAGGTATGGAAACATTAGGGTATTTAATTAAACTATATTTTATTGTAGGAGAACTCTAATTACATTTTTTGAGAAAGAAATCTTTGCCAAAAAAATACTTATTTCTGCTAAAATCTGGCACACAAAGGAGGAAAGCAACAGTTCAAATGCCTGATAATATGAACTTTGACTGATGTTTATGAAAGCTTTAAGCCAAGTCTTATGTTTATCAATTTCTCAAATCTGGTTGTTGTAACTTTCAGCAATACTAATCACAACAAAGTGAATTACAAAGGGAACTTTTCCCCTTTAAACTATGATACAAAGTATAATAGCATAGACATCTTGAAAGCGTATATAATTGTGTACAGAAACTTAAAATGAAAATGAGATGAAGCTAGCTTATCATCTGCAATCAATGCCATGTGTTATTTATCATTGATGGAGAATAATACGATCTTATTAGAGCACCGATGTTGGAGCTACATCATCTCGCTCCATGCTAGTCCACAAGACCGTTGTCATCAAGGTTGGTCAATACGCAAAATTGAAAAATGGTTGGGTTTGTCAGAGCGAAAATGATAGATTGTTTCGGCAAGCTATGTTTTACAAGAGAGATATCGGTACTCTTTGTTATGGTGAATGGATTGTTGAGAAGGAGGCAGGGATGAGGGAGTTATATATTATTGAATGTAGAGGTTATGATACGGAGGAGATGTAGAGGGTTTTGATTTGAATTAGTTAAAGAATCTTAAAAAAATTACATATTGCACTAATATATTGAAAAACTTATTATAAAACTTTGAAATAAAAGAGCTAAAACTTGCACACAAGTCTATCATCAATGCCATGTGTTATTTATCATTGATGGAGAATAATACGATCTTATTAGAGCACCGATGTTGGAGCTACATCATCTCGCTTCATGATAGTCCACAAGGCCGTTGTCATCAAGGTTGGTCAATACGCAAAATTGAAAAATGGTTGGGTTTGTCAGAGCAAAAATGATAGATTGTTTTGGCAAGCTATGTTTTACAAGAGAGATATCGATACTCTTTGTTATGGTGAATGGATTGTTGAGAAGGAGGCAGGGATGAGGGAGTTATATATTATTGAATGTAGAGGTTATGATACGGAGGAGATGTAGAGGGTTTTGATTTGAATTAGTTAAAGAATCTTAAAAAAATTACATATTGCACTAATATATTGAAAAACTTATTATAAAACTTTGAAATAAAAGAGCTAAAACTTGCACACAAGTCTATCATTTCTCTACATTGTGGAATTTCAGGATTCACGAGCAACAGAGTTGATGATTTTATAGATAATTGAAACTCACCTAAAAATAAAACAAACGTAAAATTAAAAGATTTTCACATCATTTTTAAAACCATGCTTGTCGTTATTTTTTTTTACCTAAATAACGTCTACCAATTACGCTTAGCAATGCAACAACAGGTTTCATATATTTCAAATTCTCCAAAGATGATCCTTCAATCTCCGCTAAATCGCCCCATAGTGTCATCGAAATTTGATCAAACCTAAATTTTTAAAAAAACATTAGTTTTCTTACCAATAATCAGTACATAATAATAAACAATAATATTAAATTCTTACTCTTTATTCATAATTATGACCTCCCTTCTTTTGGAATTGGGATTGCTAAAAATTGATTTCACAATTATTACGAACCCAACAACATCTGCAATGGAGAAATTTTAGTGATTATTAATATGTAGAAATATTCGCATAATATTTTTTAAAAAAAACTTACCAAAAGACATTATTCCATCATCAAAAGCAGAACCATCTTTAAATGAAAGGAATGTTCGTTTCAACTTTTCCAATGATACAAATTTTTTTGTTTCTCGAATGATTGTCTTTGTTGTTAGTGCCAACTCCTTTTCTCAAATTATTTGGAGGCTTTACTTCTCCATTGGTTATAGTATACATCTCTCCCTTTATCAATAAATGGCTGAACTTTTCTATCAGCTTATTAAATAAAATTGCTTGAATAAGTGTTCCCTGCAAAAGTCACAATGTAGAATAAAACACATAATCATGGTAATATGAAAATTACATGGGATAATAACAATGTGAAATTTGTATCACCTCTTCATCAATTAGAATCAACTTTTGCTTATTCCCTTTCCATTCTTAAAGGGGTATAGTATTACGTAAGACACGAACATTTATACTCCATTGTTTTTGATAAATTTTTACCTCTCGGATCGGGATATTGACTTGATCATTAGTTCCATCTTGATCAGATGACACGCTTCACGAAAAAAATATATAATTTATAGAGATAATTCGGAGTTTATACCTTACAAAAAAATATGTTTTTACTAACCTTTTTGAATCACATAGTGTTGCTTCCATCTCTAACTTTTTTATTTTTTTGTTAGAATTTGATAAGATTTTGTAAGATGGAAGTTGAGTATGGATTATATTTATATGAGATAGAAGAAACAAAAGTGTAAACAACATTTATTAAATATTATTTGTAACTGATGTCTCTTCTAAACGCACAAATAATATTAATAAAGTAGTGAGGATTATAGTTAATTGTAACTGATGTCTCTTCTAAACGCACAAATAATATTTAATAAGGGAGTGACGACCAATTATGCGTGAAATTAATATTTATAAACACACAAATAATATTTGATAAAACAATTCTATCTTATCTACAATGGTTATAGATTAATATTTATAAACGCACAAATAATATTAATTATAATGTTATTAATTATAAAGGAGTGACGATCAGTTAATTAATAATAAAGGATATACAGGAGTATTGAGTGATGATCAGTTAATAAAGGATATAAAGGAGTATTTATAAATATTAATTTCACACATAACTGATCGCCACTCCTTGATAATGTTATTAATTTACAACGGATATAAAGGAGTGAAGATTAGTTATGCGTGAAATATTTGTGAATTTTCAAAATATAAACGCACGCATCAGTCACAAATAATTAGAGGAGTATTTATTAGATAACATTTAGTACATAGTTATGAAGGGAAGAAATAAGTTGTAACTGATGTCTTAACAATTGTTAAGGTTATGGTTTATGCATGTATCTATATGTTTTATTGTATGTATGTGTTATGTTTGTATGTATGCCTTTAAACATTAATTTGTATGTTTTATGTATGTGTTATCCTATGTATGTATATGTTTTAACATAAATTTGAGGGTATTTTTGGAAGAAATGTTTTAACATGCCAACACACTTTTATAATAGTATCAGATTACACTAAATTCCTCAGAACTGACAGCCTTTTGTGGTAAACCACTAATAACTTCTCAAATCGCACTCAACCCCCAATAACTGTGGATATTGCAGAAAATCCCCGATAATTTTCCGCATTTTGCAGATAATCAAGCAGTCGGCATTTGGGATCTAAATAGTGTGGCCAACGCAAATGTGGACTAACATCATAATGGGAGTTATCTGCAAAATGCGAAAATTTATTTAGGGTTTTCTGCAATTCAATGGTGATTGAGGGTTTAGTGTGATTCTAGAAGTTATTGGGGGTTTACTACAACAAGGTGACAGTTATCGGGCCCAAACTAGGTCAGCTTCAGGCTTGACCCAATTTTAAGAGTTCGCCAAACACACGTTAGGCTTGTGCAAGTGGCCAGTGATTCAAAATATAATATCATGGAAGCCCCACTGTGCAGAAACAAGGCTTTAGACTACTTCAAACATATCTTATGACTGAATTTGAAACAGGTAGATGCAATAAACTTCAAGCGGTTCTTTACTTGTAAAATAGAGCAACAGTTCTTTTCCTATAAAATAGAGCAGCAATAGGGAACCTTGACAGCATACATCCAGAATAAATATGCGTCCTGACTAATTATAAAATCATGCTTCAGAAATCGGACAAATCATTACACTATATCGATTGTCTCTATGTTTGCAAGACATAAACCAGATCATCGTAAATGCTTGCCCATATAGAGCCCAAATTAGCCCAATATTTCACAAATGCTTGCTGATATAGAGCAAACATGTAGAAAATTTTGCATCAGAGTGGTCGATGCTCCTTAAGACAGTGCCCATGACTCATTCATCAATGGCGGGTCTAATGCAACATAATATCTGAAGTAAACAGTTAGAAATATAAGGGGTCTAATGCAACATAATATCTGAAGTAAACAGTTAGAAATATAAGATATAATTTCATTTATACAAAGGAGAGAAACAAGGATTCAGGACATGAAGTAAACAGTTAGAAATATAAGATATAATTTCATTTATACAAAGGAGAGAAACAAGGATTCAGGACTTACCTTCGACCTTGAGGCAGGATTTGCGCGATTCTTACGCTTGCTTGGATGAATAGTAGGATCTATTGGAACTCTCGGAAACTTACTAGCAGCATTTTGCTTCTCTTGTTTAACTTTGTTAAAGATAACAGTGAACCCATCCCCTGATTTAGGACCCTTTTCATCCCAAACACCGAATTTTGGCACTGAAGGTGTTTCGTGCATCTGTTCCAAAAAAAATTCAAATGAGGAACTCGTCTAAAATTTCACGCTAAAAACTAATGAATCAAATCTTATTGACAGGAAAATATCATTGCATTAACCTATTTATGATCCAAATTTCATAGGAAATTGCCTCTTTTTGATCATCGTGCATATCGATCACATCTTTCCATCAGCTATACCATTGACTAACATAAATGAAATAGAAACAGAGGTATGATCATAAGGTATTTATTCCCAGGCGGTATAAATTAAATCATTGGTGACATACAATCTCATTAGGAAGTAGGCTAAAATTAATTTGCACCAAGGGATCTCATTATTAATTATGGTGGGGGTTCATGGTGCATACTTCAGGTGAATGCCTCCGTTTATTAAGTTGTGGCAGGCCTAGAGGATGAGAAAGGAATTTATGATGACCACCAATATAGTTGAGAAAGTGTGGATCTGTTTGAAAGTGAGGGAAACATTGACTTCTTTTTAATGTTCTCTTCATATTCTACCTAATTATCTTCCATTTGCTTCTATTTACCTGAATTATATAAAAGAATCTTTTAGTTATGAAACCCGCCAAATGAATCAATATTTATTGACCCACACTAGACTAATCGAAGAATTCCTCTACAATCAAGGATGTAGAGAATCTGAAGACGATGAATAATTGAAAGAGGAAAGTCAGCTTACAGCATCGGTCCGTGAAGCTCTTCCTTGTCTTGGTCCTGACTGTTGCAATGGAGGAATGTGAAGACTATCTTCATCTGAGTTCCTTCTTTGTTTGCTTCTTTCTCGTAACTCCATGTTATCTCCCTGGTAAGTTTTTTTGTTCACCACACTGTGAATTTCAGAGCCATTATTTTTCAGCTCCTGCTCTGAAGGGAATATCCCAGAAAGAAAGGCATCAGGATTCTGCTCAGGATCATTGGGGTTGAAATTCTTCGGTCTAGGGATTTTATCTTTGCGAGCATTCTCAAAATATTTCGTATATGGAACGTTATCGCTATCCCAGTTCCCAAACTTTGGTACATGCGCAGATTTCTACAAGTGCCAATTACCAAGGAAAGGAAAAGTTAAGAAGAGCCGTCTTATAAGAGATCTTGAAAAGTATTTGCACTATCTGCTACTGTGAAATGTTAGACACCGATGATGAAATAATTGAACCCTCTTTCTCCCATGAGTAATTAAAATCAGTATTTCAGTATTAACATTAGAAAATATCATGCACCAGAAGACCAAATGATCCGAAGTTATAAGGCCACCATGGTTCTGTTACGAACCAAGTGCATAGCTAGATGTCAGTAATCATAGGTCTGATGCGCAAAAAATACTATCTTTAAACTTTACAACAGAGAATTATTTCTTTTTTAAATTAAGTATGAACAGAATTGGAATCCTATTATAATTCTGGTCGACCATAAAATGGATCTAAAGAAGTTCGAAAGTAGATGAAAGCTTGAGAAGGAATACCCTGGGCTAAACAACAGTTTCTTCACTAGAGATCAAGAAAGGATTGAGAATCTCTTTTCACCTATGATTATGCATCAGTTGATCTAGGAATATTACTATAGTCGAATCTCGATTTCCCTTTAGATGTAGGCACAGGCTGAAACAACGGAAATCCTTGTGTCCTCCTTTTGCTTGTTTTATTCCCTTGTTTGCTTTTAAATCCTAGTGTTATAGCTGTCACAAGCAAAAATTATTAGCTTTATAAGACAACAAGATCTTTTTGTGATATCTAGTCATAATGCCTGGTTGGTTTTGTGATATCTAGTCATAATGTCTGGTTGGTATCTTTGTGAAGCATTTTCGATTAGGACTCTAGTTCCATGGCCTACCTCATTTAGTAAGAAATGGCAACGATGTAGATATCGGTGCACAAGTGGAATGCATAAATAAGATGATATGAGTAAAACACTGATCATGGAAATTAAGATTGCCGCTAGTTTTGTAAAGACAAAGTCTACTAAAATTCAAAACTAATACGCATATGATATGGCGAGGGTTGTGATTTAGCTTGTAGTCCAAGCGATCTAAGTAGGGTTAGGGTTCCGAATCAAGAAAAATTAACAGATCAATGTGAACCATCTGTACACCAGCTTGTAACAGTAAGGCTTGCATTTACGAAGGGGGTCTTATGTTAATTGGTTGAGTTCTGACCCTAAGAGTAAGGCTTGCGTTTATGAAGGGGGTCTTACATTAAGTGGTTGAGTTCTGACCTCAAATCAAGTAGGACTTCGTTTTTGTGATCTGTGGTGGCTCTAACAGCTTGTTATGATGGTGACCTAAGTTAATGGTACCATGGAAAACATCTAGTGTGTAAGACATTTGGTTTCTTTTATTTTGTGGGTTTACACTAATTTGTGACGTGTAATTATTGTCTGTATCTTGCAAAATATTTCCTTGAATTATTTTTAATGAAACACAAAATTTCTAGAAAGTATATGAACTAGTATGGTACTTAAAGTAACAAACAACAATTTAAACCCGTCAAAATTGAATTGATCCAAGGCCTAGTCCAATGTAGAATCAAACAAACTTAATCATAAAACCAGCAGTTAATTAGCGAGAAAATGCCCATAAACTGTGTGGCCTAACG